TCAAAAACCAGGCAAAAAATAAAACCATGTTTATTATTTGAAGTGTGATTCTTTTTATGCCAACGTTGTTTTCCCATTTCAAATAACAAGCACATTTTCAAACCCATTCATTTAAACCGCTTACTGAGTACACAGTTATGTACATTATTGTTATATTTTCTTTTTTTTAATTTTAATAAATCATTTTATTGGGGGCTCTTATGACAATCCATATTGTATCAAGCACATTTGTACATATGTTGCTATCTTCCTTTGCAAAACATTTTCTTGCTACTTGAGCCCTAGATATCCTCTCCTCATTTTTTCCTCCCTCCCTCACCCTCCTTCCCTTTGAACCCATGATAAGTTATAAATTATTGTTTTTGTCTTACACCATCTGCTGTCTCCCTTCACCCGTGTTTCTGCTGTTCCTCACTCTAGTGTTACATTTTCATCACCATTTTATTTTTCTGTTTCTTGTCTTGAGCCCCCAAACGAAACCTACTGTCATTGTGGCTTTGTAAATCTTTACAAGAGCAGTCTCTTTGTCCCGAGGAGTGGCTGGTGAGTTTGAACCGCTGACTTTGCGGTTAGCCATTCAACACAGTAGTGTATTAAATAGTGAATTTTCTCCCCCTCGAGTGTTTATATGCCTAGTGACTGTAACATAAAAGCCCTGTTGAATGAGTAAAAAACAAAACAAAACAAAACTGGAGATCTTGGCATTTTGGAAAGATACTGAGATTGGAGCTAGAGGCCAATTCAGAGCTCCGTGGGCTGGATGACAGGAGACCAGGAGAGATTGGACTAAGCCTGTTGAACCATAGAGACCAATGGGAGACAGGTGAGAGGCAAGCATCTGAGCCCTGATTTAAAAAGTGGGTGATGTGGAAGAGGGATTTGATGTCAGAGGGCGGGGAAATGCATTCATTCATTCAGACAGGTGGTAGAAACAACCTAGTCAAACAGGAAATAAACCTGCCAAGGACTTACAGGTGATTGGTAGAGATAAATGATTAAGCCAAGCATTATGGTATTGTGTGACAGGTACGATGTATGGCAGGAGGATGTACAGGTGCTCAGAAGAGGGTCCAAAGCAACCCACAACTGTCAAGTTGATGTAGAATCATAGTGACCCGCTAGGATCGAGTAAGACTGGTCAATAGGAATTCCATGGCTGTAACTAACTACAGAAACCAGACTGGCTCCCCTTCTCCCGGCCAGCGAGCGGCTGATGGGTTGGAACCATCAACCTTTCCATTGCCCC